CATAAGGGAGTAGGTTGCAAACAGAAGAAACACTTTTACATTTATAGTATATAGATTGTTGAGTTGTATCACTCTCAAATTCCACCCAAAACAAAAATTAGTTGTATTGTAATAGGGGTTTATGAATCAGATTTAGGTTTAGTGATATGGATACATAAACACTTTTATAGACTTGTCAAATAATCCAATATGACACCATTGTTTTGCTTTTGTCACTCTTTGTTGCTTCTGATTTGATTAGAGAAATGAATATGGATTAATGTGAAAAAGAGTGAATCTGTATATACATAAAACTAATTAGATACACACAAGAATCGTCCTCTTTCTTGGAATAGACAAAAGAGGTGGCTTAAGCTTCAGGAATGCTCGTTAGAGAGTTTATCTGTCGTTCTAGCTGCAATCGCGGAAACAGTTTAGTTTGTATGATCTCAGATATCAATCTTGTAATATGACTTTACTACTACTACATTTTGAATTGGCTTTACCTGACTATTTATTTCTTTGTTTCTTTTCACTTCCTCTACAAGAATCTCAACACTGAAAAAAACTCATAAAACACCTTATCTCAACTTACTAATCAAATCTTCAATCCAAAAGAAAAAACACAAAAAGGGAAGAAGTTATTTCATTACCTTTGCTCCAAAAATTGAACCTGAGATTGTAGTTCTCTCTCCCTTGATGGATATATCTGCGAGTTTTCGCGCTCTTAGTTCCGCGTTTTCTATGTATATACAGCACCCACATCGCATAAACTACAGTCGAAACATACCTGCACTCCTTCGGGTCTTGAGATTGGATTTTCAGTTTCTGTACAAATTAACACCATGTCGTCAATCTCAATAGTTGAAAGAAGAAACAGAATCTGCTACAGATGAGAGACATTACCGGCGGTTCGATCAAAAAATCTAATTAGTCTGACAACTTTCTCCTGTGAAAAAAAAAAAAAAAATATCATGTCAAGTCTCAGAAGACAAATCCATGTAACAATGTAGGAGAGTATATCTACAAGAAGCATTTGGAACAGAACACACCCTCTGAATGTCATTTTGAACCAGGAGACTCTGTAACATTGGGAGGATTTCAGTAGCTGAGCAAGACGAACGGTTCACAGGACTAACTGTGTTGCCATTTTTTGGTTTCTCCTGATAGAAACATTTGTTTTTTTTCAATTTGAGAACCATAACAATAAGGTTTCACAATCTCAAGAACCGCATGACATTATATATTCAAAGCAATTACCGGCTCATTTCCTGCTTGTATCATTTCCTTGGTATCCGCTAATGGTTCTAGTTTCTTTGGCTCTTCAAGACCGAGCGTCTCTGAGGCTTCTTCGCTCGAGCAACATGCATTGTTTTCAACAGAACGGATTACCGGCTCACTTCCTGCTTCTCTTGTTTCCTTGGTATCTGCTAATGGTCCTAGTTTCTTTGGCTCTTTAAGACCGAGCATCTCTCCAGCTCCTTCGCTCGAGCAACATGCAATGCTTTCATCAGAACGCGTAGCAACTTGGTATCTGCTCCAATATAAACATTTCAAAGTTAAGATATCATGTAACTTTGGACATTCCTAGTCATGACTATGTGAAAACCAATTAAATCAACAAAGCATCATAAAGGGAGGATTCCACAGCAGGATCTACTAATGTGTAGAGAAGAGAAATGTTATAAAATACCCAATACTCGGAAGGAAATTTCGATGAAATGAAGGAAGTAATGCACCGGCTAATACACTGTCACTTGCACTCATCACATCCTGTAAGTTAGACCAGGATATGACAAGTGGTTAGCTGGAATATAAAATAGGCACACCGCGATATGCCTTGATAGGAGAAAAAACACTTGCCTTTTCTGTGATTTTGAAGCTTTCCAAAGACATAGTCTTTGACCGTTGTACCATTGGGTGGAAATTACGATGAAATGAAGGAAGTAATGCACCGGATAATAGACTGTTACTCGCACTCATCAAATCCTGTAAAGTTGGACCGGGATATAAGATAAGTGGTTAGATGGAATACAGAATACGCACGCCACACGCAGAGATATGCCTTCATAGGAGAAAAGATACTTACCTTTTCTGAGATTTTGAAGTTTTCCAAAGACATAGTCTTTGACCTTCGTGTCATTGGATTTCTTTTTGGTACATCAACCCCAACATCCCCATTTCCATTTACTTCCCGAATCTCTGAACTGCATATTTCATCAGCTGGATTCTGATAGTAGAACACTGAAGCATTGAGAAAGGAGCGGAAAAAAAACAAGATTTACGTTTACTCTAAAGATATGACCTTACTTACAACTGATGCCTGCTTCCTCAATTCTTCGAGATCAAAATTCCAACCACTAATTCCTCGCATATACTCTTGCTACAAGAAAGCAAAATATAGGATTCTAAATTTGGTAAGAGTGCAAATATAGCTGATTAGATGGGTATTCCGGCATATGGACCGAGGTATACCTGAGATAACTGTTCTTTGTCACCATTTATGCCTTTAAACAACTCAGCCTCTGCCTCCTATAGAGCCAAAACAAGAGAAATTTCACACCTTTAATCACACATATATAAGGTAAGTGATAAAGAAGATTATAAGTTCCAGCAGACAAGGAAATTGTTCAACTCACCTTGAGCTTTTTAAAACGTTCACCAAGTGGAGAAAGACCATGAAGAATTTTACGGGACAAATAATCTGTCGACCGAGCATGTTTGAAGAACGGGTGTTTCAGAAGTTTTGCAGAGGTTGGACGCTTTTTTGGATCTTTAACTAAGCATGCTGCGATTAAGTCTCTAAATGACTGCAAATAGGATACAGTTCTTCACTAAGTGAAAGAAATGGAATCTACTTTTATAATGTTGTATATCGTTTAATCACACTTACCTTTGAGAATTTCTTATCTCTTTCATAGTCAAGACGAGGAGGAGCATTTTGTAAGGTCATTAATAGCACCTGAAATAATTGAGAAATTTGAGACAATTTGGCTCAAGAAACTGGAGAGGGATTGAAGTAAACCCCAACCAAACACAATGAAATGACTCACCTTCATAGGTGGATATTTGGAAAATGGGGCATGACCATGAGCAAGCTCGAGGGCAGTTATACCAAACGACCAGATGTCCGCTCTATTATGCCGAACAAAAAAAATTAAAAATCAATAACTTACTCGCGATGGCTATTCAAAGAGACTAGAAAAGAGCATACATACTTGAAATCATATCCGTCCACTTGCTGCATAACCTCAGGTGCCATCCTGTAAAAGGAAAAAGAGTCCATTGGCTAAAAACAAATATGAAACTTGAAAAGCCTATTTGTAGAGAATTAAGCACACACCAGCAAGGAGTTCCAACGAATGTCTTCCTCGTACGCATCCTTTCCCCACTATCAAACATACAAGCTGATACTCCAAAATCTCCAAGTTTAACTACGCCTTTCGAATGAACCAATATGTTCCCGGCCTAGAACAAAGCATGTAAACAACAATCTACTGATCATCTATCCAAAAATTATAGACACATTTCAAAAAGTTGGATACTTTAGGAATAAAAGTAAGTACCTTAACATCTCTATGGATGTGTCCTTGTCTATGTAGATAAACAAGAGCTTTAAGCACTTCCCTCAACAAAGTAGCAATTATCGGTTGCTCAAGACCTTCGGGATAAACCGATTTCATCAGGTGAAAGCAAGAGCCACCAGACATGTAAGGCATCACAATCCACAAGCTACTACGGTCGATAAAAGAGCAATGCGCTTTCAACAGATTCGGATGATCAATCAAATTCATAATGAGAACTTCCTTGCGTATTGTTTCCTGCGTGAACAAGCAAAAATAATGTAACTTCATACACAAATCTATCAATACGGTCTATAAATCCTAGTACCCTTTAACAAATCAAAAGATGAAAGATACCAACCAAATCGTTTCTGCATTTTTCGAGATCCATGATCTTTATTGCAACATTCTCGTTCAGAGCAATGCAGCGAGCTCTGTAAACAGTGGCACTAACACCTTCACCGACTTCTTCAAACAGCTCATAATCCTTTGCATAGAGGGGAAATCTCTTTGTCGATGAACCAGACATTGTTGTCTAATTCCTACAGAACAACACAATTACACTGTCTTTTTCCACAAAGATTTTATAAAAATCGAAACTTTGAGAAAAATGGAAGCAAAGGTTGAGTTTTTACGGGTTTCTGGGTTAAAAAGCGAGGATGGGTTTGTAGAGGAGGAGGGAGGCTACGAGA